AGATTTCATGGAATGAGGAATCCGGATATGTATTTATATTTATTTATTTCATAGCCTCGATATTGGCTATCAAATGTTCAAATACTTTGCCTGTATTTAAGTACACAAGAACCTAATCATTAACTATTTTTTGGTAGACAATTATACATAAATATCTACTTATGTGTGTAGAAGCAGAACTTGTTGATATTTCTGTGTCAATGCAATTAATTGAGATAAGCAGAAACGAGGATTTTTATTTACTATCTTCGTGAAAAATTTATCAGGTTAGGGTTGTATTTGACCCCTGGTCTATGTACGTCTTAGAAAAGGTGGAATGTTCCCAGCATGCATTCGAGATGAATAGCTGCGGCAACTGTTCCAAGGAAAGAGGAAATTGGCCAATTTTTTTGATGTCGGTCCCAACCGAAAATCGACAGTTGTGCCAAAGAAGAGGAAAAACATTGCCTTCTCATTTTTAATGATTTTTTTTTTTTTATGTTACATAACCCACTCAAGGACGACTTACAAACCTCACACAAATTCCAATCACATCACACAATCATTAGGACACGCTATAATTAATAGTAGTTCTATACAATTGCCTCATTGTTTATGCTGAATATGAAATGCTAATTTGCTAAATTTTTTCTAAATGGCTTCACGCTATAAATAAATAATCCCATATGTACTTTGTGTAATAACAAATTTACAGTTCAAGCACGCGACCACTGTTTTTACGAATGCTAAAAACTGATTGAGATTTAAACACTGCGAAAAAAAAACAAAAAAAAAAATATATAAAGCGAATGAATGAATCTGATCCGAGTGCAATGAGTTTGTTTACATGTTATGCCACTTTGTGCATTTGAATGTATGCATGTGTGTGTGTGCATGCTTTTACATACAGACATGAATGTATCGGTGGCAAAAATTGGGTGTGTTTTTGTGTGATTTTTTTTATGTTTAATATGCGATGTTGACTTCATTTTTTGTGGGCAATAACAACACTTTTTATTTGACTTACTTGCATTTGGAGTTGTTCGGGTTTGCCGCTATTTTTGCCGCGTTTTTATTGTTTTGTTAGTTTTTTGTGCGCAAAATTCTTCGTTTTTCTTTGAAAATCAGCTTGTTTATTGTTTACATTTTTATGCAATTGGTGCAATGATACCTACAAATCGGAGGTGTATAGTAGCTGCAGCTAATGGTTATAGAGGGGGAGAGTGATGGTATTTACTATTTGTATTGGAGTAGGTATTGGTCAGCCAGCTGTGCGTTCATCAGTGAGGTGAGTTAATATGTAAATTGCAATATATGTACAGATGTATGTACATATGTAGGTATTTATATTAGTGTATGTATCTACCATACATTCATAGGATGTGGCTAACAGGGCAATTCTGGTAACTGTATGGCAAAAGTCTTTGGAAAGGCAACTGTCTTGAAATATCTTACCTGCCTCTCGGAAGGCTACTTGAAAGATCTGCTAATGAGAAGCTCTTATTTTTAATCAGTTTGTCTTTTTGCAAAAGTTTCTTGAAAATTTCATTAAAAGGGAAAAATTAAACTAACTAATTGTTCAATAAAAATTTTAATTTAAAATACTAATATAATAAAAACGAAGAAGTAAATGTATTAAAACAAAATAAATGAAAAGAAAAACGAATTATTCCTTTTTTAAATCAGATTAAACAAAAATTAAAAAATAATTAAAGTAATAAACAAAAAAAAAAGTAATTAAAATAAAAAAATAAAAACAAAAGTTAAAAGAAAATCAAATAAAAATGAATGAAGTTAATATATAAAATAGGTGGGTAAAAATTAAAATAAATAACAAATAGTATTTGCTCTTCTTCTTATAACAATAAAAATAAAAATCAAAATACAATTAAATAAAAATATAAAAAAAATTAAATAAAAAATTAAAAAATCAATCAAATATATTTCTATAAATTTAATGAAAATGCAAAATGTATAGGTATATTGTTCAATAAAAACGAAAAATTAAAAGACAATTAAATAAAAAAGTGAGGAAAAAGTAAATTAGGGAGGAAAAAATAAATAAAATAAATATATTGTTCTTTTTAAAACGAAAAATCGAAATGTAAAAAAAATAAATAAAATAAGTTCTAAAAAATTAGATGATATTAAAAAATATAGTTTTTTTAAACAGTAAAATCTAAATATTAAAACAAAATTATTAAAAAAAGAAGTAAATAAGGTCTAAAAATTACATGAATATTAGAAAAAATATGGAGTTTACTGCTACTTCTTTTTCCATGTTGTGCAAAAGTCTCCTAACTGTATCGATTACCAGTATCTTACTAGAACAAAATATGCATTAAGTTTTACTATGCGAGTATTTCGACTGCTGAGTGAAAGATCGAAAAATCGCAGCAGCCAGTTCGAAAACGTTCTTTTTTAAAAAATTTTTCCAGAACGCTCTATTTCAGAATTTGGTTGAAGAACGCCCTATTTCGGATTTCGGTACAAAAACGCTATATCTCAGCATATTTTCAATACATTTTCAAATGAGATAGGATATTTTTGAACCGAATTTCAAGATATGGCGTTCTTCCACCAAATTCTGACATCGGGGTTTTTTCGAATAAAATTCTGAAATAGGGCGTTCTTGAAAAGTTTTTTGAGATAGGGCGTTTTTCGAAATGGCTGCCGAGATGGGTCGATCTTCCACTCAGCAGTCGATCTGCAAATTCAAAACTTTAAAGAAGTTTTTCTCGAGTTTTGCTTTGGAGATTTATCACGCCATCATTATCTTTTTAAAACAAAAAAAAACCTGAAAAAAATGGAAGGCCATTTAAAAAATGAAACAAATCAAATTAAAAAAATAAAAATAAAAAAAATCTATAAATTAAATGAGATTAAAAAATAAAATAATAATCCTTTTAAAACAATAAAACCAAAAAATGTAAAGAAAACTTAAAGGAAGTTTAATTAAAAGAAGAAATTATAAAATAAATTCTCCGAGTCTGAAGGCAATAAAAAAAATCTTTTGAAGGCAGAAATAAATAGAAAAAATGCCGCTGCCCGACAATTCGAATCTCGAATCTCTCGGATGGTACGCCAGTGCTTTATTCAGCCACTGCGACTGTTGTACACAAACTGCGACCGTTGGGACAAAATATTCACATTAGGGTGGTCCTTAAATGAAGGAAACAAATTTTTACATCAGATTTCGTAAGCCTCAACCCCTACGTCGATGATATAGTCGCAGATATCACATATAAATTTTGGTCCCGAGGGGGGTCGCAAAGGGAGACTCAAAAAATTAAAATAATATTTTTTTATCTAATACTCAAAATGGATACTACCATAGTCGAAAATATCACATATAAATTTTGGTCCCAATCGAAGTCGGTAAGTCGGTTAAAGTGTGTCGCGCAGGGGTAAAAGTTCAGATTACCCTATGAAGATTTTGGAAGTAACGATTTTGAGTATTAAATGAATTATTTTTTTTATAATTTTTTGAGTCCATAGAGGCATCTGGCCTTTGACCTCTTGGCGACACGCCTTAAGAAAATAATAACTTAATTTTTTGAGTCTCTATAGAGCAATCTGTTACCTTGGTATTACCGATTGAGGATGTGAAAATGACAAAAATCGGTCATGTGGTTTTAAGGACTACCCTAATGTATATAGATTAATAGCCTAATTCATAAAAAATAAAGTAGCTTTACAAAAGGTTTATAAATTGAAAAATGTATGAAAACGTCAATTTATATAGCTTTTTAAACCTACTTTATTTTTTATGAATAAGGCCATAAGTTTCTAAAAAATTGTATTTAATTAAAAGCATAAATTTTTAAGTATTTTCTAAACAATAAAAGCTGAAAATCTAATGAAAACTAAATTGAAAAGGAAAAAATAAAAAATAGGAAAAAAAAAATTCCCGGGCTGCCGAAAGATTCTAACCTTGGATCTCTCGAATGGCATGCCAGTGCTTTGCTTACTCGGCAATTGCAACTGAGATTTTCACCATTACAAGTTGGCAAGGAAGCTTTTTTATATAAGACTTTCGGTCAGAAAAACCAATATTTGTGTTGTATTTGCAAACTATCTTCGCCTACTCTCTTTCAATTGTCCAACAAAATACTTGCAGCTAACTTAGTTAGAATTGCCCCGTAACTGATACCGTGGCGGCTTGCTGTTTGATTAAGCGTCATACTGACAGGTAACTTACACGCACACATACATACATACATACCTGTTTAGCGGTCTTTTGAACCTTGCCACGCACACACACACACACACACAACACGCCACACTTACTTACCACCCATTAGTGGAGCATGCAATTGGCAGTCAAGCATTTTGCTAAACTTAAATTTGGTCAGTGAGATATTTTCGTATTGATTGTGGAGTTAACTGCACAGTTAGTGGAGTAGCGCAGCGCAACGCAGCGCCGCGCCGCGCCGCGCAAAGCGTTGAACCACATTGAGCGATTTTCAGGTTCGAAAAAGCGCTGTTTGTTGCGGTGTTGATGGTTGGTGGCCACTGCCGGCAGTGAAAGGTTATTTTGGGTTTTGTGTGTGCGCAGGTAAATATGCAGTTGGGTGGGTGAGCAGGGCGGTGGCTGACAGGCGTGTAAATACACCAACACCAAGTATATATGTATTACTCTAGTTCTGTTGCACTTATGCAGCGCCACTCATAATATTGTTATTACGATTGCGACTGTTGTTGTTATTGTTGTTGTTGTTATTGTTGCCCCGGCTTGTAAGCATTTTAGAAGCATGTTTGTTGTTGTTGTTTTGAGTTTGTTACAAGACAAGTTTCGTTACAATTTGAAGTTTGGCCACCGCCCGGCATTCTTCCTGCTCTGCATTGGCACTACTGCCATATGGCTTTTGTTATTGTTATGTATTTTGTTTTTGCACATTTTGTATTGAACTTTTTTGTTAGCGCAATTATTTTGTGGCGCTGCATATGAAGTTCAACAAATTTTTTAGTATAAAAGTTAGCTTAAATTCGTATTCGGAATCAGAATTAAGTCAGCATTTCTTGAGTGTGCAACAGCAGTAAACTAATAAGTCTTTTTCCTTACTTCTACTTGTATAAAACCCTTCTCCAGCAAACATGAAGGTAATTCGGGTAGTTGGAGTGTTCGAAAAGTGCTAGTTTTTTTGTGAAAATATAAATAACTATGTAGGCAGGAAATAAACTTGCAATTAAAGAATAAAAAAATTATAAAAAATGTTCCGTAAAAAATGTTAAGTTGAAATAATACTAACAGCCATCTCAAAAGTCTTATTAAAATATCTACTAGCCAATGAAAATATGAGGTCATAGTAAACTTATGTACTCGTAAACTTAGTATGTACTTGCCATTACAAAAAAGATACTTAAAATTGGAATTTAGTGATCTATAAAGCACGAATGGCATTTGGAAATAGGGTCGTTTTCCAAGTAGAAAAATCAGTAATATTTACTTACTTTTTTTAAGTGCAAAATGTGTATTTAAACTTTTGTTTTTAAATTCTTAGTAAACATTTAATTGAAATTTTCGCAAATTTCTAATATTTTTGTTTTAGAAAATAATTTCCAATTCTTAAACAGAAAATTAAAAGATCTCCAATAATTTTTAAATGAGCAATAAATTATTACCCACTTCCGAATGATATTAAAACCAAACTATATTTTTATTTAAACATTTTCTTTTAAATAAGCTTACAAATTTTGTATTTAAAAAATATATAAGTATATATATTAAAATAAGTGTTTCGGAGCAATTTCAGTAAAAGCTAAAATAGTTTTATACAAAATGATGATTTTTTCGAGTTTTCAGTTAATATGTAATAGCACTCATGGAACTAAACAGTTATTTAATTTACTATGCTTTTTGAAAATGTTCTGAAATTTAAAAATTTACTAGATTCTGAACCCAAAACCAAATTTTCTGTGAAAATAAATTTCAGTTGCGAAAAAAATTTGAAAGCTATAAAACACAGTCTCCCACATTAAAATCAAAAAACTACTCTGTAAATTTAACAATTTACATAAAATGCTCACTAAATATTAAATAAAATAAAATTAAATTTAAGAAAATTACATGAAAAAAATGTAAGGGTTAAAATAATTTTTTTCTATTAATTGTAATCTTCATGGAACATTTAGATTTGTGTGGGTGTCAATTAAGAAATATTACCAGCACAAGTAAAGCAAACAGGACTTTTAAAGTTCTTCATTCCTATTTTTCAGTTTGAAAAAAATTTTAAATTTTAAAAAGAACGCCACGCAAAACAAGTTAATTAATTTTTTTTTTTTTAACTACAACGCATTTTCTCTCCATCTCTCTGTTTTTCAGTTCGTCGTCGCCGTAGTCATGTTGGCTCTTGCCGTTGGCGTGCACTCATCTCTGTTGACAGCCCATATCGCACCAGCCGTGTCGTATGTCACCTCATCACTGCACCCAGGCCCCCTACTCGCGCATGGCGCCTACGGCGGACTTGGAGGACTCGGCCCATGGGGCGCACCAGCAGCAGTTAGCGCATGGGGTGTTCCCGGTCTGTTGGGTGGCTATCCCGGCATTTCGCTCAGTCAGGGTCCACATGGCGCTGGTATTGCTGCTCCGCTCGCCTTGGGACATGGTGCTGGTGTGTACGTGGCGAAAACACGCGGTGCTGTGCATACTGCCCCCTTGCCCGGTCACATCACCTCAGCGACTTCTCTGAATATAGCCCCAGCTCCTGGCACGCACTAAGTATCTCAATCGACAGACATCTTGTTACCCCCATCCGTCCAGTCCAGCGATTCACAGCGATTTCGCACACATACGAGGAAATACATATGTACATAACTACACATAAACACATTATACATGAAACAAATGCAACAACAACAATTCGACGACAACGATGCCAAACCAAGGATGCAACTGTATATATAGCATTATACATATATGTTTTATTTTTTTTTCATTAATATTGATAATCCGTTTCCTTTTCCGTAATTCGTTATCCGCAACCGCAACCCGCAAACTGATCAATGAAATGTTTATATTTCGTTTTATTATTTAATAATATACTATGTACAATATGTTGTACAAACATACTTACAAATGTATTTCATGTTATTTACTTAGCTATACATACATACTTATCTACTTACATACTTACTTGTTTTGTGTTTTAAGTAAGCGTGTTCGGGCAAATATCTTAGCCAGAAATTCTTGACGATACACCACAAAATTAGAGGTGAAACGAATGGAATCCTGCGCTATTCATCGCGTTTAGAATTGAAGTGCGATATGCCATTTTCAATTAAATAAGTGGCATAACAAGTGCAACAGCAATAACAACAATAAGAACAAACAGTGATACAAATACAAACAACAAGAGCATGCCAACTGGTGATTAATCGTATTTCGTACAATTTTGAGAACTTTCCACACAACTATACAACTATCTTGATACTCTGTCCTTTTACTCTCTGTACATACTTCTCTACCATTTCTTTCACTTTCTTCATTTACATCTTTTCGCTGCTGTACTGTTTCTAATGCTTTCAATTTCCGTCAATTAACAAAAATAAAAAGTCACTTAAGATCTAACTTTCTTCTCAGCTTTCGCACTATGTTTTAATTCTCTCTTAACTCTCCTCCTCTTTCTTTACATGAACACCACTTGTACGTATTTACGTTCTTATATATTTTTTTTTTATACAGTTAAACGTAATGTTGTAAGATATTCAATGCAATGCTTTGAATTCATTGAATATTTTTGATTTGAATAAATATATTGCAAGATTTTTATAAAGTCAAGACACGATTTTGTTTTATTTTGCAAGGCCTCCGCGGCTCTCTATGCAGGCAGGATAGGATAGGCAATAATTTGGGTTTAAAAACAGGACTCGTACCTACACTGAATGTAAAAAGTAGCTATAGTCCGATCCACACTTTCTTAGCTGGCACTGCACACTGTGATATTCAGTCAATCTAGAACGCCCAAAATTAAAAAAAGTGCTTTAAAATCGATAATGTTTTGTAATTTGTTAGAAAAGATGCCAATTGTTAAGAAAATAAGCATAAAAGAGAAAAAACAAAATGTCATTGGCATGATAACAGCTATCAAACGCGAGCTATTGAACATCATGCCAAAACAAATTTGCAACCTTGCATCGATAACAAAACTTCGAGCGATCAAATTGAAGTTGTGCGCATTTTTTTTGCCAAGGATTTTTTTGTTCACAAAAATTGTTTGCTACGTACGACCATTATATTTGCGGTTAAATATTTTAAACAAATTATTTTATAATCAGCTAAAAGACAAATTTCAAAAATCTATATATAACGGTCGCACATGGCTCGCGCTGCGCCCAATCGCAGCGTGGCCCTGTAGAAGGGCATCTTTTTTCGCAGCAGCTTGCTGACGCTCCTCACTATACCAGTTGTTCTTTCGGGCTCGCTGAAATCCAATTACTTCTTCTGAGGCGGCACTTAATGAGCGGGAAATGTGGTTCGACTGCTCGCATATGCCGGTTTGTTGAAGAGTGCTTTATGCGAGCAGGTATGAGAGTCGAGTAGAGAATGCATTGGCTGTCTGTTGTGATTGCAGAAATTCGACACTAATTTTTCCTTGCATTTTTGGTCGCAAGTGGTGCGAGTGGATGTTTGGCTCCCGGAGTGCACGCACGTATAAAACACTGGAAGCATGCCGTCCGTCTATCACAACATGATCGATTTGGTTCCCCGTTTTTCAATCTGAAGACATCCGGATATTTTTATGCTTGAACCTAGTACTGCATACTGTTATGTTTCGGGTCACGGGGAAAATCTCAGCCTCAGTCTGTTATCGAACAATTCATCGTGGCCCCACCAAAGCTCCCTATCTTTCTGCCGAGACCCAAGGCTCCACTCGGATTGGTTGCTCACGTTGCCCAGAGTGCGCTAACGAGGACGCAAGAG